TATTCATGAACAAGACAAAATTTTCAGGGTAGATTTTTTAGTTTGAAGTGCGTTTTTTTAGGCTTAAGGTAAGGATGTAGAGGAATAGTGGAAGGGAGGATGGGAGAGGGGGGGAGGGGGGTACAAGCTTCCTCACTGTCTTATCTCCGTCCCAAATGCCTGGCTCCCTGTCTCACTCCCTGCCTGGCTCCCTGTCTCACTTCTTGCCTGGCTCCCTGTCTCACTCCTTGCCTGGCTCCCCTGTCTCACTCCCTGCCTAGCTCCCTGCCTCCCTCCCACCCTCCCCTGCCTGGCTCCCTGCCTCCCTCCCTGCCTGGCTCCCTGCCTCCCTCCCTGCCTGCCTCCCTCCCTCAGTTGCCTGGCTCCCTGCCTCCCTCCCTCCCTGCCTGGCTCCCTGCCTCTCTCCCTGCCTCCCTCCCTGCCTGGCTCCTTGCCTCCCTCCCCTGCCTGGCTCGCTGCCTCCCTCCCTGCCTCCCTCCCCTGCCTGGCTCCCTGCCTCCTTCTCCTGCCTCGCTCCCTGCCTCACTCCCTGCCTGGCTCCCTGCCTCCCTCCCCTGCCTGGCTCCCTGCCTCCCTCCCCTGCCTGGCTCCCTGCCTCCCTCCCTGCCTGGCTCCCTGCCTCCCTCCCCTGCCTGGCTCCCTGCCTCCCTCCCCTGCCTGGCTCCCTGCCTCCCTCCCCTGCCTGGCTCCCTGCCTCCCTCTCCTGCCTGGCTCCCTGCCTCACTCCCTGCCTCCCTCCCTGCCTCCCTCCCCTGCCTGGCTCCCTGCCTCCCTCCCCTGCCTCCCTCCCCTGCCTCCCTCCCTGCCTCCCTCCCCTGCCTGGCTCCCTGCCCCCCTCCCTTGCCTGGCTCCCTGCCCCCCTCCCCTGCCTGGCTCCCTGCCTCCCTCCCCTGCCTGGCTCCCTGCCTGGCTCCCTGCCTGGCTCCCTGCCTCCCTCCCCTGCCTGGCTCCCTGCCTCCCTCCTTGCCTCTCTCCCCTTCCTCTCTCCCCTTCCTCCCTCCCCTGCCTCCCTCCCCTGCCTGGCTCCCTGCCTGGCTCCCTGCCTCCCTCCCTCCCCTGCCTCCCTCCCATGCCTACCTCCCCTGCCTCCCTCCCATGCCTACCTCCCCTGCCTCCCTCCCCTGCCTGGTTCCCTGCCTCCCTACCCTGCCTGGCTCCCTGCCTCCCTACCCTGCCTGGCTCCCTGCCTCCCTCCCCTGCCTCCCTCCCTTCCCTGCCCGGCTCCCTGCCTCCCTCCCCTGCCTCCCTCCCTTCTTCCCTCCCTGCCTCCCTCCCCTGCCTCTCTCCCCGGCCTCCCTCCCCGGCCTGGCTCCCTCCCCTGCCTCCCTCCCCGGCCTGGCTCCCTCCCCTGCCTCCCTCCCCGGCCTGGCTCCCTCCCCTGCCTCCCTCCCCGGCCTGGCTCCCTCCCCTGCCTCCCTCCCCGGCCTGGCTCCCTCCCCGGCCTGGCTCCCTCCCCTGCCTCCCTCCCCGGCCTGGCTCCCTCCCCTGCCTCCCTCCCTTGCCTCCCTCCCTTGCCTCCCTCCCCTGCCTCCCTCCCCTGCCTCCCTCCCCTGCCTCCCTCCCCTGCCTCCCTCCCCTGCCTCCCTCCCCTGCCTCCCTCCCCTGCCTCCCTCCCCTGCCTCCCTCCCCTGCCTCCCTCCCTGCCTCCCTCCCCTGCCTCCTTCCCCTGCCTCCTTCCCCTGCCTCCCTCCCCTGCCTCCCTCTCCTGCCTCCCTCCCCTGCCTCCCTCCTCTGCCTCCCTCCCCCTGCCTCCCTCCCCTGCCTCCATCCCTGCCTCCCTCCCCTGCCTGGCTCCCTGCCTCCCTCCCCTGCCTCCCTCTCCTGCCTCCCTCCCCTGCCTCCCTCCTCTGCCTCCCTCCCCTGCCTCCCTCCCCTGCCTCCATCCCTGCCTCCCTCCCCTGCCTGGCTCCCTGCCTGGCTCCCTGCCTGGCTCCCTGCCTGGCTCCCTGCCTCCCTTCCCTGCCTCTCTCCCCTGCCACCCTCCCTCCCTCCCTGCCTTGCCCCCTGCCTCGCTCCCTGCCTCACGGGGCCTATGTAATAAAAACAAGGTTCCAGCCATTACAAAAGTTTGCTTCACTGTTCAAAACTTTCTTAATATTATGAGGAGAGGCATTTAGAACGTCCGCCCCACCTGAGGAGCTGAAAGCTGCCCCTTCTCCTCCCCCCCCCACACTGTAAGACGCTAACATTGCTTCTCGAGCATAATAACTGCTAAATCGTTGTCTGTACAAGTGTTACTCTTTGGACCTGGGGCCAGATTCACGAATCGGTTACGCAAGCACTTACGAACCATGGGGCCAGATTCACGAAGCAGTTACCCAAGCACTTACGAACGTGTACATCTTTCCTTCAATCTTTGACGGCTTTGGTTACATTTATTAAACAGTTTACAAGCATGAAAACTTGCCAATCAACTGTTGTTATTGTTATAAACAGCCTCCTGGTGCTTCGGAGCTCATTAACTGTTTCATAATTGTAAACAAAGCCGCCAAAGATTGAGAAAAGGTGGACAGGTTCGTAAGTGCTCACGTAACTGCTTCGTGAATCTGGCCCCTTAATTACTTAGAGTTCTGGAACAGTGAACAGCAAAATATGCAATTTGGTAATTTATTGTTTTTTTGAAATATTTTCCTCGAATTTAATTGATTAACAAATCCACAAGGACCGTGATGAGGGTTCGAACCTACGTCTGAGTAGGTTCTCTTAATCTTAATTAAGAATAGGTTTTTTAATTTAAATAAACCTGCAAGCTAGGTTAATGCAGTAGTTAGTACTCGATAAAACCACATATGGTCGAATGAATAAGAAACTAATGTACAATTCTGGCCATTTGTTTAAGATGTTGGGTGGGGCTAGCAAGATGCCAGACATTTGAAACAATACACAGTTTCAAGTGTAGATAGAGCTCAGTGGGCTCAGGAATCTGTACACCAGTTGATTGACGGTTGAGAGGCGGGACCAAAGAGCCAGAGCTCAACGCCACAATGATACCAATGGCCTTAATGACTACACGGTGTCACAGCACACAGGGGCCTCACAGCTCGCCCCAGCACCTGGAAATACCTAAGAACATAAGAACAAAGGTAACTGCAGAAGGCCTATTGGCCCATACGAGGCAGCTCCTATTACCTGTACTTCCTCAACATGTTAAACACAACCTTGTGAGATAACATATGTGTAGGTGACACCACTACTGGAGGCAGTCTGTTCAAAGAGGTCTCTCCAAGTTTGAGGAGTCACTTGCCAAGGAATCGGAGGCAAAGAGACAGAGAAGGAAAGCCGGTAGCCAGGAAGACAGACCAGAATCGGACTTCGTTTGTGCTCGGTGTGGGATGGACTGCCACTCTCGGATTGGCCTCATTAGTCACACCAGACGCTGCACCAGGATTGACAACTAGGGCGCAACTCCATAGTCTCCCGAGACTGAAGGATGCCTATTGCCTACTAAGGTGACACCACCTGTGTCAGAACAGGGCACAATTGTAGTTGCACAGGACTACTCGGTCCCCAAGGGTACTGTGCTTGCTCCAGTTCTCAGTCCCCCAGGGTACTGTGCTTGCTCCAGTTCTCAGTCCCCCGGGGTACTGTGCTTGCTCCAGTTCTCAGTCCCCCGGGGTACTGTGCTTGCTCCAGTTCTCAGTCCCCCGGGGTACTGTGCTTGCTCCAGTATTCAGTCCCCCAGGGTACTGTGCTTGCTCCAGTATTCAGTCCCCCAGGGTACTGTGCTTGCTCCAGTTCTCAGTCCCCCGGGGTACTGTGCTTGCTCCAGTTCTCAGTCCCCCGGGGTACTGTGCTTGCTCTAGTACTCAGTCCCCCGGGGTACTGTGCTTGCTCCAGTTCTCAGTCCCCCCAGGGTACTGTGCTTGCTCCAGTATTCAGTCCCCCAGGGTACTGTGCTTGCTCCAGTATTCAGTCCCCCAGGGTACTGTGCTTGCTCCAGTTCTCAGTCCCCCGGGGTACTGTGCTTGCTCCAGTTCTCAGTCCCCCGGGGTACTGTGCTTGCTTCAGTACTCAGTCCCCCGGGGTACTGTGCTTGCTCCAGTACTCCTCATATCGGACATAGACAAGGGCACAACCTATAGCACTGTATCATCCTTTGCAGATGACACAAGGATTTTTATGAGAGTAGAGAACATAAAGGACACGGCAAACCTCCAAACTGATATAAATCAGGTCTTTCAATGGGCCACAGAAAATAATATGGTATGTAATGAAGTTCCAGCTCCTGCGTTATGGAAAAAAATGAAAATATAAAAACGGAAACCACGTAAAAATATTAAATCATTCCATAGAACGAAAAAGCAATGTAAAGGATTTAGGATGCCTGAGGGTAAGCCTGTTATACACATTAAACACGTAAGGAAGTTACAAAGATCATCAGTTACTGTGCAGGCGACACAAATATTTGTGCCGGGGATCGATCCCCCGGTTCATATGACTACGAATACCGAGCGCTGTCCACTCAGCCACCAGTCGCCCCAATGTGTGAGTGAATTTTTTACTGAATTTAATTTTATTGTTACATAAAATGGCCAGAAGTTGAGTTCTTTTTCCAGAAAAATGTTAGTTATAAAACTCGACAGTTTGCTGGCCAATATTTCTCACATTGTTGTTGTGTTTGAACTGGCGGTGAGGAACACGGTGCTGGCGACGGGTTTATTGTGCACAGATGTCCTGAATGGCCACACACACTCTGCCACGCACTCTGCCACTCACTCTGCCACTCACACTCTGCTACACTCTGCCACGCACTCTGCCACTCACTCTGCCACTCACACTCTGCTACACTCTGCCACTCACTCTGCCACTCACACTCTGCTACACTCTGCCACTCACACTCTGCTACACTGCCACACACTCTGCTACACTCTGCCACACACTCTGCTACACACTCTACCACTCACACTCTGCTACACTCTGCCACACATACTCTACCACTCACTTTGCCACGCACTCTGCCACACACTTGTTAATCTCACACCTTTGTTTCTCTCCCACAGAACTTGAAGAACCAGATCATGACGTCCAACGTGTGGGTTGAGCAGGTGAGTTGATACAATTCATTTGAAGTTCACGAATGAGCTGCTAGAGTGGTGATAACTTGAGTGAATATAGTTTTAATTGTTGCTGAGAGAGAGAGAGACAGACAGAGAGAGACAGAGAGAAGGTACAACATGTTGACCAGAACACACATTAGAAGGTGAAGGGACGACGACGTTTCGACTTGAATCGACAAGCCACAATCGACTTGAGAATGATCCAGGACGGACCGAAACGTCGTCGTCCCTTCACCTGTATGTGGTCTGGTCAACCTACTTTAGCCACCTTATTGTGACTCATCGCCTGCATAAGGTGCAACATGACCAGTCCGTATGATAGAAGAGCCCAGTAGGCTCAGGAATCTGCACACCAGTTGATTGACGGTTGAGAGGCGGGACCAAAGAGCCAGAGCTCAACCCCCGCAAGCACAACTAGGTGCGTACATGACCAGGTACAGACTGGCTGGTGGAGGCAGATCTTCCCGCCTCTTCCTTCATGTATTATACAAATTTTAGTTAACTATTTTGGTGTATGTGTGTGTTTACTATTTGTGTCTGCAGACTCGAGTTATTAGCTCTTGGACCCCGCCTTGTGTGTGTATACGTGCAGATATGTAAAGCTCGCGTGCACATGTGCTTATTTCTGTGCTTTCAGGCCGAGCATCAGCTCTTGGTCCCTGCCTTTTTCGTTTTAGTGTACTGCAATGGCTCCTGAGCCTCGACTTCTTGACAAAGCTGCTCTTGACAATATTAATGTGGGCAGCCTCGAGCGACTCAAACTTGAGTGCATTCTTGTGCTTCATTTAGGTGTCCAGACCCCTGACCCTCGTCCCATCCCGCTAGACTTGCTCTAGGGGTTTCTGTTGACTTTCAGGTGGTGACCTTCGACGTAGTTAACAACCTGCTGAAGGTCACTGATGTTATATTTTGACGTGAGACTATAGGTTACTGGCTGTTCATCATCCCTACAGTGAAACGTTTTAGATTATTGTAAGAGAAGTGTTCAGATACTCTGTCGTGAACAACTTTAAATGGTGTTCAGGAAATGGGAACACTAAATGGTGATTCTTGGCACCGTTTAGTGGTGCTAGAGACCATGACTAGTTGAGGACCCGTGTTCGTTAGTGATGTGTAAATTGACACACTTTATGTTGGTTTAATCTGATCTTACTTTAACAGGTTAATAACCCTTGTTCTCCCTCTCCCTCTCTCTCTCTCTCACTCTCCCTCTATCTTTCTCTCTCACTCTCCCTCTATCTTTCTCTCTCTCTCCCCTCTCTCTGTCTCTCTCTCTGTCTGTCTGTCTCTCTCTCTCTCTCTCTCTCTCTCTCTCTCTCTCTCTCTCTCTCTCTCTCTCTCTCTCTCTCTCTCTCTCTCTCTCTCTGGACCAACAACTTTCCTCACACTTCCTGTGTATTGATTCCTGGCTTCCTCTACGGTGCCCGTGCCGATGGCTCCTAAGTTATCTCCCTTTAAAGAGGAATATTATCTATAAGTTCTCAACCGCTCGTATGAGACCCCCCCCCTCTCCCTTCTCCCTCTCTCCCCTCCCTCCTCTCTCACTCTACCACTCCGGCTGTCGCTATGGCAACGTGGCAATAATGACGTCACTAGAGCATGTTGGATGGCAGAGTGGGCTGCGTGACGTGGACCCTGGGGATAGTGCCGCTGGCTGGGGGGGAATGGCCACCTTTTTCGGCAATGGTTAGATATATATCGTCCGAACAGATGTTAACAGTTACAGGTGAAGATGGTTTATGGGAAGGGCAGGGAAGAGAAGGCCCTTATGGCTTTTAAAGAGAAGTTATGTAATGGGTAGGGGGGGGGGAATTAGCCTTTGGAAAGGCTACAGACATTATTCAGTCTGACGTAGTTGGTACAGAACAACAGAAGGCTCTTTCCTTGTTCTCCACTCATTCCTGACTTACTCTCTCGCCAGAAAGATTGAGAAGCATCCATACCGGAAAGCAGGTACCAAAATTTAAAAGGAGTACTGTAGATGTCCACCAACCGTGGACATCTTCAAGAGAAAACTAGATAGTTTTCTTAAAGGAGTGCCGGACCAACCGGGCTCTGGTGGGTATGTGGGCCTGCGGGCCGCTCCAAGCAACAGCCTGGTGGACCAAACTCTCACAAGTCAAGTCTGGCCTCGGGCCGGGCTTGGGGAGCAGAAGAACTCCCAGAAGCCCATCAAGCAGGCACCACAACAGACTAGTTACCCCTGCCACTTGACATACACGTTTTCTCGTGTTCTGTCATGATAATACATAAGGTATGATACATTCAAGGTATGATACATACAAGGTATGGTATTCTGTCATGATACATACATAAGGTATGTATGTACCTTACCTGAATAAAAAATTATTATTTATTATTATTATTTATAAACACGTAGGAGGGGTCACCAAGGAATTGGGGTCACACACCTGTTATCAAAGTCTCTCTTGTATACAACATCTGTTCCAGGCTTGCTTTTAGCAGGGGGAAGAAAATGTTTTTATTCTTCAAATAACCACAAAACCTTAAGCTTCCAGACAGGTGGTATCGAACTGGGGACTGGAGTTTACCACGTCGAAAGGTAATGCTGTTTTTTCAATGTTGCTTAAAAAATTCAGCCGCAACAAAGATACAAAACGATGTTTTGATTTTTTTTGTATGTATGAATGCCGGTGTGCGCATGCGCAGTGTTAGTCAACAGGCGCAGCGGTGTAAAGGGGATATGAAGTTAGACAATAGCACACAATGGTATATTACAGCAGGTCAAACAGCGCCTGTATGCCTTGCTCCTCTTTATCGCAAAATGGCCTCTTTTAGCTCTTTATTCCTCTCTTATCACATGTTATGTACTGCTTCTGGGGTGCCTAGTTTTAATGACTTGTATGATAACGAAGGATAAACGCCGAGGGCTGTGGTTGGTTATCTTGGTACTGAGGGCTCTGAACAATGATGTTCCAACGGTGAGGTCCCATCAATGCCAGCGACCCATCAATGCCAGCGACCCTTCAGTGAGGTCCCATCTATGCCAGCGACCCTTCAGTGAGGTCCCATCAATGCCAGCGTCCCTTCAGTGAGGTCCCATCTATGCCAACGTCCCTTCAGTGAGGTCCCATCAATGCCGTCCGGTCCCTCAAGTGCCGACCCAAGAATAGTCTCACCTTTAACACGTGACACCATTTTCTTTAACCTAGTTTCTTTCGTAATTAATGGGGAGACTCGCGCTTTTTGGCTCTCTGGACGAGGCGGCGTCCGTCATGATAAAGCAAGAGTATTGTGCACCGGCCAGCCACACGCCTCCACTAATCCACTCTGCATATGGTACACTTTTTCGTTTGCAATCCTTTTCATAACTTTCCTTAGCGTCGCGCAGGGGGAAAATGTATTCTTTGGGGGGGACTCACGTAGCGTGAACGACATGGATATGAAGGTTTTGACTGTGGGGAAAGGGAATTTTATCTGGTGGAGGTAAATAACTCTTGTGTTTACAGTGTGAATGATTGCAGCGACTCTGGTAGTCTACGGGCTCACCATAGCCCGTGCTGCTTGGAGCTTTATGTTCCAGGTAGCGAATCTTTAACAACAGCAACAGACTCTGGTAGTGGTTGCTAAGATTGTACTCGTAAGGCCCTTGTGCTCCCCCTTAAGAACGGCGAGAGTGGTTAGCTAGTTACGTCAGGGTATCTTGATGTTATCTTGAGATGATTTCGGGGCTTATTGTCCCCGCGGCCTGGTCCTCGACCAGGCCTCCTTTTTGTTACATATCCCCAGGAAGCAGCCCGTAGCAGCTGTCTAACTCCCAGGTACCTATTTACTGCTATGTAAACAAGTGGCATCAAGATAAAAGAAACTCTGCCCATTTGTTTCCGCCGCCGCTGGGGATCGAACCCGGAACCTCAGGACTACGAATCGCGAGCGCTGTCAACTCAGCCATCAGGCCCCCTTCTACTATATTTAGGATAGTGAACAGCGGGAATGTGCATACAAGTCTCTCTCTTAAGAGCATCATTGCTGCTATAATGTTCAATGTGGTTATTTTACAGTTTTGTTTATATCTCGTATTGTTTGAGGAGTAATTTGTGTTGGGTTCCTCTCTTCCTCAGGTGTAAATTATGGTGTGTATTTGTCGCATCCGCTCCAGGGGCCAGATTCACGAAAGCACTTACGAACTTGTACATCTTTCCTCAATCTTTGACGGCTTTGGTTATATTTATTAAACAGTTTACAAGCATGAAAGTTCCCATTCAACTGTTGTTATTGTTATAAACAGCCTCCTGGTGCTTCGGAGCTCATTAACTGTTTAATAATTGGAAACAAAGCCGCCAAAAATTGATAAAAGATGTACACGTTCGTAAGTGCTTGCGTAAGTGCTTTCGTGAATCTGGCTCCAGGTCTATACGACGTGAGGAATTTAAAAAAAATCAATAATTTAGATGATTTAGTGAGTAGATTTGAGCCGTAAAAGTTCCCTTTGCATTTCTCCAGACCGTTAACCTCTCCAGCTTGACGGCTGCTGTGAGGAGGGAATATATTTTCTTAGTATTTTGTACGTGTGTCTTAAAGTATTATCGATGAGCGTACATCACTGTGTTTATAGGTACCACATGTGCACACAGGCCATTTGGGGGGGGGGGGGCGGGGGCCGTATGCAGACAATGTAGTGGAAAAATCATGGACCAGACACTGAGTAACACTTGGATATTTGATTATAAAAATACAGCCAAACCGTCAGATCCGTCCTGGGGGTCAGTGGACCCCAGCCTGGCCGGGGGGCGGTGGACCCCTACCGGGGACAACTGGGATCTGGTCCACTGGAATACGTCTGAGTAACCAGGCGGGAACGCCTGGTATAAGCCCCCGCGTAGAGACATAAGACTCGCCTTAAAGGAAACCTGCCGAAGTCCCCCCTTCCTCGTGGTTCTCTATGACGAGGAAGGGGAGACTCTTACGCCGCTCTGAAAAGGTACCCCGACCTCCAGTTCGATGCCGATTGATTGATTGATTGATTG